ATAGACTGATAATGAAGTACGTCTTCTAGGTCTCGATGGATAGTTCAGATGCAAAGGTTTCGAAGGAAAATGAGGCCCCTTAGAAGATATTATACAAACAGAAAATTCCAGTGAGTCTATGGATGATTCTAGATGGTTGCAAGAAAGCATGAGTACAAAAGTTACCCACCAAGCTCTACCAGTTGACCAGGGCTTTAGCACGGCCCATGATGAAAAGGCCCTATCAACTTCTGGGGTAGATCCGGTGGGAGAAAAAGGACTTTTGGAAATCATAATTGTACAAAATAAACCCAAAAAATCTATGTCTTCACCGGTTGCCCCAGAAGGTATTGATATTTTCTCTTTGATGGATTAACCTAGAAAAACTGCTAACTATTGTTGTATACTTTAATTTAATCCTCCTTTTTAGATTATGTTTGTACCAATACTGATAGAGCCATAATTGAATATGTCAAAAAAATTCCATCTTCACCTAGGAATGAGGAGCTTGTGCTCATAGATGATGTTCTGGTGTCGAGAAACCACATGGAATGTCTTTTTCAGCCATATGAATACTTGTCTGACGAGGTAACAGATGCAAGTCATAATACTCAATCAAACATTGCCAACTTCAATGCTCTTTCTCTCTAATGGCGAAATGTATGCAGGTCATAGATGCTTATATTAAACTGCTGAAGGCCCATGAGGGTTTGAAAAGGAGGCCAGGAGGTATAGTCTATCTTCAAACTGCGTGCTTAGTTGCAATCATGAAGCGAGATGGAGAAAAGGATAAGACCATTGAAGCCAATTACCCTAACCGTGACACTTCACAGCGTCCTGGTTTAGTTCAAAGGGTGCTAGCTTACTTGAAGCATGACATGGTAGCAATTTTTTTAAACGATCTATTGGTCTTTCATTATCAATTTTTTATGCCTGGCAAAATGTTTGTTGTTTGATTTGATAGGTGTTCCTTCCAATAAATGTTACAAATACACATTGGTACCTTGCTGTTATAAACGCTGTCAAACGTGAGGTTTAGGTGCTAGACTCTTTGGGCGAGATGTTCGGACATGTTGACCTTAATAACATAGCTATTTGTACACATTTTATATTTTAGAAATGCTGATTGATTCGTTCTTCTATGAACAAATAGCGAGGTGGATTGCGGAAACAGATAGATTTCATATTGGAGGAGACAGACCCAAAAGAGCACAAATGGCTAGATGTTGAGGTTGATACCTGGCCGGTTAGGGAGATTTTCCGCGACAAATTATTACAAACAGATGGGTACGTCAGAAATAATGGCATGTCATATAAGTTGAATTTTATGTGTCTTTGCCTTTTTTTATCTAATGTGAGTCTGAACCTCTATTAATGTTGTATGTAGTTTTTCATGCGGTTTATTCTTAATAAACTTTATGGAGTATTAGACTGGGAACGATTTGTCAGACGAGTTTAATCAGGTAAACTATGCGTCTTACCACAAGTTATGAGTGTGCACTAGCTTTGGGTTTTTGAATTAATATTTAATTAGGTTCATACTATCGTGCAGGATGATATGAAAGAATTTAGATTGAAGCTTGTGGCGATCTTGCTATTGTCAGAGTTAAACAAACGAAAGGGTGCTCCATATCTTGATAGGGATGAAAATATTGGAAGCCCAAGCGACTGTGCCATAATAGAGAATTCAAAGATGTCTGATCAAGTGTCCACGAAAAAGAGAAAATATTATGAGGAGGCCAAATGCTTAGTGGTTCAAATGGGCACCCCTCAACACATACAAACTTAGAATAAATCCCCACAAGTTCATGCCAAGCAAGACCCTGATGAGTTTTGAGCATTTGAGGCCATGAAAGACATGCCAATGAACAAGGAAGAGATGACTGAGTTACTGTGTGATTACGTCATGGCAATTCAGGATGAAGCGACGTTGAAGTAAGCTACATGCTTATTTTAATTACTTTATTTACTAATAATAGTGTGCTATCTTATATGACGAAAACCATCATCTGTCTCTAATAATTTGTAGAAAGCCTTGGGTTAAAGGTTTTCATCCCTCCATGATTGCCCTAAGTGTCAAGGACCTACAAGAGTTGTTAATGAATAATCGAAACATCTCTGAGAACTATTTCAACTTAGGTGTCCGTTTTTAGGCAGCTCGAGAGTACAATACAATGAAAAAATATAATAGTATTACGAAGCATCACATGGACCTGAGATTCTGTGTAAGCATATTTTTAAAATTCTTATCGTGCTATATTATATTATCTTATTTGTTGTTCTCCTAATTGTATAAAGTAGGCTAAGTTATACTAATCCTGACTCTCGATATCCTTCTCTTCCAGAAAATGTGTGCTTTAACAAAAATGCCAGAATATCATAAAAAATACACTAAGAAAGAAATGGCTGCTGTGATTGGTGTATGTGAGGATATGGAATACAGCTTAGCACAATGCAAATATGTAAGTCGCTTGCTCCTGCTTTTATTACTTGTTTCCTATATAATATTCTAAACGCTACCATGTTTGTAGTTTCTTTTGCCATGGCTGCACGTTCGAAAGTATATGCTTTATGTTTTCGATCAGATGAAGAAGATGCTTATCATGATTGATCTTAGACCTATTGAAGACCGGTGTAAAGACACACCAGCGCTGATGTATGCCAGGTACACTCTTGAATTTACCTTGCAGTACACGGACGCAGTGAATCTACATATTCCTGGATGGAATGAGGATGTCTTCCAATGGAAATTCAGACAGGAAGGAAACATTGCAGAGGACATAGATGGGTAACTAACGTAGAGTCACTATAGCTTGCAATAATAATACCTATGATTTAACTATTTCTATATATCGCTGATCGTGAATCTTGCCACAGACACTTAAGTGAATATCTTATTCTACAGTATATGTCTGCATGGAATAGACCAAAAGTCACACATATTTATATGGTGAGTATAACACTTTGTTTTAAGTTTTTGTGGAAGATTTTTCAAGAGACGCAGTATTACCCATGCGACAGGCACTAATATTGACATATATACTCGAGCCCGTGTACATGATGGCATGGAGATGCGGTGGAACTTATTCGTGGATTCATTGGCGCACGAAAGAAATTGATATTAGTGATTTCTTTTTGTCGATATAAAATATTATCTTAGGCGCATCACAAAAAGGTCTATAAAGTAGAGTTTGTAAGCCTGTGACGCCGTGCTCTCCGTGACTGTTAATTTCACAAACTTTGCTTTTTGGATTAACTGTAACTTTAACGTTGCTATTTAATTTTATAGTATTGTTATCTTATCGTACGATCCATATGTTTTTAGTACAAAAGTTTAGTTGTCCCGTAGCAACGCACGGGCACACTACCTAGTAGATATAGATATAATAAATAGATAGATTAGACTCTCTCTTCAATACTCTTCCAATCCTTATTATTATTTACGGTAATGCTGGTGTCAGGGCGTCCGTCCACCCGGACGCTTGCTGGTTGGGCTCCATGTCCGCTCCTATGATACACGGCCCTGTCTCCAGCACGCATCGCTCCTCCCTCACAGCCTCATAGTCACAGGCTCCTAGCCTCCCGTGTCCAGACCCACACTCGAGGCCTCTCGCGCGGTCCTATCTCAGGCAACGATGCCCGCCGCCGTGCCCCCGCGTCCGCCCACCTCTTCCTACTTGTCCCCTCTTCCTTCTCCTACCCACACTGTACCATCCGCCCACCATGGCTGCTCCACTGAGCTGGTGAACCTCCACGGCGGATGCTCTAGCAAGCTGGTGAGGGGACGAGCTTCTCGTGACGCCACCCCACCAACGAGTTGCCCGTGCCGCTCTTGCACTGGCGAGCTCCATGTGCCGCCACCAACCTCCACGTTGGCGTTGAGCTACAAAACGTCGAGCCTCCATTCGTCCGAGCAGCAAGGTGACATTGCGTTGAAAAGCGCATCTTGCAAGCGTATGTTTTAAGTGTTTCTGATGTTTCAGAGCTATATTGCAAGTGTTTTATATTGATGTTGCAAAAGTATATCGAGATGTTGCACATGTTGAAATGGCTATACACATATGTTTTAAGAAGTGTATGTTCAAAATGTTTCATCTGTCTCAGACGTATGTTGCAATTGTTTCATTTGGATGTTGCAAAACTATATCGGGATGTTGCATATATATATGCAAGTGTTTCAGGAGTTTTCATATGTTTGTTGCAAGTGTTTCATCTTGATGTTTGCATATATTTGCAATGGCTACACACAAGTTTTAAGTATTTTTTCTGGTGTTTTTGCAAGTGCTTTAGGCGTATGTTGTAAGTGTTTCAACTGTTTCGGTCGTATATTGCAAGTGTTTCATCTGGATATTGCAAAAGTAGATCAGGTGTTGCATATGCTGCAATAAGACCCACCTATCGTAGCCGCTTGCTGCAACTGCTGGGACTCGCATGGGTTCCTGTGTGTGGGCGTGGTGGTCAGGTGAAATAGAGCGAGCACGTTGGTAGGACGGTACCAGCATGGGGGCCACGCAGTGGGGTGCCCGAAAACAGACGGCCCAGGCTTTTTCGTGTGTGGCGCGGCCTCTCGTGTGAAGGACCGAAGGCGTCCGATATTTTAGAGCAGCTCCGGACGTCTGGGTGCTAGTAACGCTCTATTATTTATTAAAGTGCATTGGATATTGCTCAAAACACATAACAATAATTTTCATGTTTTTTTCCCTAAATCAACATTGCGGTTTATAAAAAAACCGTATTATTTCCATGTTGTGGGATAGGTGAATAGAATGAAATAAAATAATGGCACATTAGACTACCTAACCAACTTTTTCTTGGTGATAAATCTAAAAGTTGGACTTTCTAGTGGGTGTAGGTAATTGTCTCGTATATAGGGGAAAGATTCTATCTAAAGTTTATACTTTTATATTATCCTCTAGAACTTCCAGTCTTCCACCCCTAATAAAGCGACCAAATATAGCCAGAGGGAGATCCTTCCTTCGACTACCAATCCATTTCCCCAAGATCCAATCGCGACTACTATCATGGCAGAAGTGGCCGGCGGCGGCCCCTCGCTCCCCGAGGATCTCCTTATCTGGGAGATCCTGACGCGTCTGCCGGTGAAGCCCCTGCTCCGGTGCCGCGCCGTCTGCCGCTCCTGGCGCCGCCGACTCACCTCCGACGCCAAATTCCTCCTCGCCCACCACCGTCGCCAGGCCTCGCTCCCGCTCCTCACCTCCTGGGACGAGGACACGCATGAGAGAAGGATCGACGTCCTGGACCACCGCACCGGCGAGCGGCACCCCGTCGGGCGGACGACGGGCCGGACCGCCGCCTCCGAGGACGACTTCCAGGACGACCTCCACGTGTTCGCTTCCTGCGACGGCCTCATCGTCCTCCATGCCTACGGCGGCCTCGAGATCTGCAACCCGGCGACCCGCCAGCGCGCGCCCCTCACGCGGCTCCACGGCGCCGCCTGCATCTCCGCGCTTTACCCTCACCGCCCATCCGGGTCGTACCGAGTGCTGTGCTGCTTCAAGAGAGCCGAGGACGGCCACGCCGTGTACCACGTGCACACTGTCGGGTCCGGCGAGCTCAGGTGCGTCGGAGAGCCTCCCGGGCCGTGGGCGTCCGGGGATCTCGCGATGGCGGTGTCGATGATGGGGTTCCTTGACCCGCCCGTCCTGGCAGACGGCAGGATCTACTGGCACCCGTTGAAGCTGCCCGGCGGCAACGCCGGCAACGGCAAGGGAAAGGTCAACAACATGCTGGTGTTCGACACCATGTCCGAGTCCTTCCAGCATTTGCTGTCGCCCGTCGATGGCCCCTTCCTTGAGCTGTTTGAGATGAACAACGGCGCCCTTGGATTGTACCACTACCGTGGCAGCTCGACCGATCTTTGGGTGCTAAAGGATCACCGGAGCTGGTCCTGGTCGTTGAACACCCGGATCAAATTGGACGTGCTGTTTTTCTCTCTGCTGCCGGTAATGGACCCAGAAGGAGATGTGCTCGTCCTTTCTGACAGAGGGGAATCAGGCATCCTGTGGCAATATCTGCATCACATTTCTGGTGCCAATGGCAGTTTGTTGGCACTGTATAAATGGAGCGCTTATCTAAGGCTTACCAGGCAGAGGTTGAAAGCAAGCCTTGTCCGCCATGACTTCTTCTGGATGGAAGGTAATGCTGGTAGTATGGATGAAAAACCATTGTTCGATGGCTTGTCAACTGTGGTGGTGCTTCGTGATGATAATTCTGAGTCATCTCAGCAGGATGGAGTCACTCATGATTCTGAACTGTCTAGAAATAACAGCACTGCAGATTAGTAATAAGCTGAAACTATATCTTGAGTCTGGTATTTGTTCTCTTTTCACATGAGTCATGAACACACTCTTTATTTTGGTTATATCAGCATTGTCATTGTGATCTCATTTCATTATTAGAGTTTGAAAATTGTCTATGTCAATATTTTTTAAGGTGTAGGCTCAAAGGAAAAGATCTGGATGGTGCATGGCACACTTAAATCGATGTGCCGTTAGCTTTAAGTGCACTCCTATATTTTGTAATGATATATTTGAGACTACTATATATGACCTATCTAATGGAATGTAATATGTGCTATCTATCTATCTATCGGACTGTAATATGTGATATCGAGTGTAGTGGACCTAATGGCCAAATGGACCACCCGGCCCGAAGCAGCATGGGCCTGGCCAAAGCATGGCCCGTCGGACCCGGGCCGCCTAACCATGCCTGATAGGGCCACGGGCTTGAGCAACGGGCCGAGCATGACATTGTGGACCATTTTTTGGGCTGTGCCAACCTGTAAAGCATGACAGCCAACATGTCCGGCCAGCCTGAGGTCCACAGAGAGGGGGCCGGGAAGGAGAGGTAGCGCGACCAGCAGGAGGTGGCAGCGGTCGTCGGCGAAGTTGCCCCCAGGCTCTTTGACATAGGATCTAGTGAACAAGCTGGCGGAGCAAGGCGTCGGGAGTGGAGAAGGCGTCGAGGCGAAGCTCAGGGCTGCCGCGTGTAACACCCTCGGTGTTACACCCTAAATCATTTACTAAGACATGTCATGAGCATCATATTTATGTGTTAGTGCATGTGATGGAGTGCATAGATGAAGCATTGCAATTAAAACGATCAATAAAAGTGTTAAACAAAAAGTTACTCCATAACTTATACAGTTAACAAGTAGCGTTGTAAACCAATTTTTATTGAACAAAAACACTATAGAACACACATGTGACAATTAAATAAAGTTTAAAATATGAACTTTGTAGATGACAGTGAAATACTTGCTGTTGAAAAATCATATTACTAACTAATATTTCTACTAGCCTAGAAATTACAAATTGAAATCAAGTTCAGCTCAAAAACTTACAAAAATTTCCAAGTTTGTCAACAGCTAGATATTACTACGTTTAGCAAATTATTTTGAGAGATTGGGTTAAGGGGCGGTGTAGTGTTATAGCTCGATTTGGTAGTCTCATATACCATCTTGAGTGTAGCTAAGACCGTTTAGGTTTTGTAGCAGCGGTTTAGTCGCGGTAGGAGCTTTAAAAACCGTGAACAACACGTCCTCGGCCTGTTTCCCCGAGTGGGCGCGGTCATCGCGCCTCAGGGGCACGACGTCGTCGCATCGGTGCGTCTTGAGCGCGCCCACACGCTGTCCGTGCTTGGCTAGCCTTGTCGGCTGTCCGTCCGTCCACGGGCTGCTGCTGCGGGTGTGGGGCCGCTGTTGCTTTCAGCGTGGCGTCGCGGCGGCATCGCCCTATCCCATGCCGCCTGCGCTGCCAAACCCGCCGTCGCGTCGCGACGTAGTTGCCGCCGTCGCGTCATCCTTGCGCTGCGCCTCTGGCCCAGTTGGATGCCGCGCGCACGTGGCCGTGCTTGCCGTCGCGTTGCCATTGATGGCACTGCGGCGTGCGGGCCACGCCGGTCACGAACGAGCGTGCGCCTGTCTGCTAGCGCCTGGACATGGATCTCCACGGTCGCGCCAACCACATTCAGCCAAGGCGCGCACACGCCAAGCCACCGGTTGTACCCCACCACCCTCTCTCTGTTTCTCATCTCTCTACCGCCGCCGAGCCGCGCCCGTGTGCGAGCCATAGAGCGGTCACCTCTACTCAATTCCGCCCACAAGACCTTCGCCTCCCGCCTTCTTGCCGCCCGACCCCACACAACCATGATGACGCCCGCAAAGTGCCAATTTGACTCCTTTTCACCGTCTTGCCGTTATAGGCCACGCCCGCCATGACCGAGGGCAGGCCTCCATTCCTCCACCCGAGCCGAATTACTTGCGCCACTACATTCTTTGCCTCTCCTCTTAGCCCTGCGCACCCTAGTCAAGTCGCTACCACCTCTACTCCGCCGCTGATGCGACCGTGCCACCACGGTACTCCGTCCGTCACTCTCCGCTCCAACCCTCACTACGGCTTGGCTTATGGTAGTCCTTTGATGCTCTCACGGTAGCTGGTTGGGACCGTAGCAGCTCTAGTTCATCGGGGCGACTGCGCCACCATCACGGCCGACCACGTGCCACCGTAGCCATCTCCAGCTCTTCCCGCAGCCCCACGTCGCAGCTAGGTGTAGGTAGTGGAACCCTAGATGAGTGTCGGCCCGATCGACAGGCCGGAGTGGACCTCTGGTGGCCGGCGTAGCTTCTCAATGCCGTCGCTCGCCACACCGCCATGCGCTGGGTAACTGGGGATGTGTGGGGAAAATTTCCAAAATTCCGTGGGGTTAAGCGAGAGTAGTGTGGAGTGATAGGAATAGTGATAGGACTGGTGTAGTTTGGGAAGAATCAAGGGTGTTGGCGCAAAAAAGTGCTCTCTGACGCTGCTCTCTCTCTCACTGTCATGGGCCAGCATGCGTTATGTGTAATGGGTCAGCAGATCACAGCGTGTCTTGTGGCCGCACTGCCATGGAGAGATTCGTTTTTTGTTTTCATAAGGAATTAGAAATAGTTTTCTAATTTAATTTCTGAGCTGATCTTTGGTAATTAATATAAAATTATGTAGATGTCCAAAAATTGTGAAACAAATTTTGTTAGGTTCCTAAAATTGTGCTCTATCTGTTAGTGTATTTAGTTCATATTTATATGTGTTGAAATTAGGGGCTATTAAATCAATTGAGGATGCTTAATAATATTAATTAATTATTGTAGGATTTTTATGGTAAATTGGTGATACCTTTAGTCCTAAAATTTTAATAGTAGTTTCATTGTATTATTATGTGCTCATTGTATTTTTTGTAGCTTTAGAATAGACTAAGCATTAGGGTAGTTAAATGCTCTTTGCTTCAATATACATTAAATCATCAATAGAAATAAACATATATCCTTCATTTGTAAAGCTAGGTGTTTGTTAGTTGAACTCAACACTTTTCTTCGTAAAGATGATAGTTAGCTTAGTACCTTGTTCATTAGAGCTAGCTTAATAGCTTAGTATGCGTATTCTTAGTCTAAGAGTTGCTATTGCCTAAATGCTAAGTGTTGCGTCATCATCGCATGCATATAGAGAACGCATTCTCGGAGATCATGACCACCGGCGATCATGAGTTCGAGGTGATCGTCAAGGAGTACGAGGAGGAGATTTTCGTGCAGGAGGAGGTCCCGGAGCCGCCACTGACTGACTCAACTGACACCGCGCCTGCCCAAGGCAAGACCCGGTGCATAACCCCTTATTTTTTATAATCACTGTTTATATATGTTATGTGCATTTATGTTACAGGAATTTTATGGAAACCACATGCATAGATATACCTATCCTAAGAGTCTTACTAGTGCTGGTTTGAGTAGATGCTATGCTTAGATTTATTGGTAGCATGGGTAACCTGTCGTTACTCACAAGTAGATGATTACTACTATTACTCTCATAATAAAATGATGAAAGGAAAAATGGTGACCGAGTAGGGATATGGTATGGGTATTGGTGGGTGTGACGAGTTGAGTCCCGCGGCCATGGGGCATGGCTTGGTTACACTATTTTCCCTGTCCATGTCGATTGAGGACTGTCCGTTACTATGGATGGTAGTCAGGTCACAGACTTATTATGCTAAGCACATACTTGCTTATGGGAGCGGGAAGGCTCGTTACGCTCTTGTTGTGGTTTCCAGCTCTTTCTGGATCGATTGATTGGAGGCGGGGAAAGGTGGAGGTCTAAGCACCATGTTGAGACCGGGTCTCAAGTGTGGGGGCTTGGAGTCCAAGTTTGGATGGGGACCTAGATCCTATGACAGGAGTGGAATGGGTTAGTATTGCTTGTGCTCAAGGGAAGCGAAGGGGCGTGTTTCGGGGTACCCCATTTGGGATACATTGGTTCATGAATCGCCCGTTTCTATGAGACGCAAGACGACTTGGCTATGGTCTAGACCGTAGTAAGAATCTGGAAGATGAAAGATGGTGAAGTGGTTTCGATTGCTTAACCCTTGCTTGAAAGTAGAACATGTGCTTACCTAGAATGATTAGCTAATGAAGTAATCATGATCTGCTAATAAAACTTTGATGTAGGAATGAACTATTAGTAAGGCTTTTCCAAAACAAAAAAAAAAACAAGAAACCCATATTGCCTATCATATCCTTGAGAGTCGGGAAACTATTCCCACTAGTCGGGTAAGTCTTGCGAGTACATTGTGTACTTAGGGTTTATTTTACCCATATTGTAGGTGTAGCTTGAGGAGTAGCTCTTGTTTGGAGGATTCTTCTGGTGGGCACAGATAGATCCTTATATCGTTTCCGCTAGATGTTTATTTTCATTCCGCTATTAAATTATCGCACTCTGAACTCTGGTATTATAATAAATAATTTACAAGAACTCTTGTTGTATGAAATGGACTAAGTATTGTAAGCTCGTACTCATTATTGGATTCTGGATGTAAAACATGGATTGTTTCGAGTTCTCCCTTAGGGTGTGCTCGATGGAACTGTTCGATATAGCTCACTTTCGATGTGCTTAGTGCCTAGTGGAAGACGAGCGTCTCCAAAAGTGTGTTATTTCGGGCGGTTCTGCGATGGCATCCGTGCTCGCGTCGCAAAGTCGCACTCGTGTGAGTGGATGGGGTGTCCGTGTCCTCGCTAGCGGTTCAGAGCTGTGAAGCTTGGGGGCAGAGTTCGGGGCACACCTCGATAGTGAGGCGCGATAGAAGGAAAGGAGACGAGGCGAGCACCCCGCGACTCTGTGAGTGTGAGAGAAGTGAGTGCGGTGCAAGTTCCTTTCCTCTCACGCGGCGCGGTGAGGGATACCGGGGTAGGGTTTTGGGGAATAGGGTGCATGGGCCTTTAACAGGCCATGCTAGACACCGGGCCTCGCACTAAATTGCA